AATGTGTAAACAAGCACACGGAAAACCTGACTCCGGCAGGTACTGTACTCTCTTTAGTTTCGTATGAACCACAAATCATACTGATTTTAATACACACCATACAATTTTATTCATTTCTCGAAAAAGCCGTGCTTCAAATGGAATTTTTTTGCGCTCACAGCGAATTTAACAACCATGGTCACGGCGCAAAATATAGCTGTATTAAGAAATCGGCCTACTGAATATTTTACCATAAGGCATGCCTAAGACCAATAGAGTGATTCCACACAAGGAAGCTGAGTCACCGCAAGAATTCAGGCAGCTGAAGTGGGCCAAACGGAATGTTCTGCGTATTTTGGGAGGACACATTTCAAATCTGCACCTGATACTTGGTAGAATCAGTAGAATGCAAGAGAATCGTCGATGTCAGCTAAAAACCCCAAAATTTTCATAACGATAAAATCGTTTCTGGGAACGCATAATTGTTTGTTCGAGTAGTTATCCGTAAAGCGGGATTTGAATCGCCATTTAGGATTTCAAGAATGTGATTCAGCATGGCTGAAAACCCGCAGCAAACCATATATACTGGAAAGCGATAGCAAGATAAAAAGTATTTGAGTTCATATTTTGTTCGAAAACTGGTGCAAGTACTGTAACGTTAATTATTCAAAGTTTGTGCCATAACGCGGTGATCATGTCATCCAAAACCATGATGGCCGTGACCGTTGGTCTCCTGGTGGTCTGCATAGTAAGCTGAATGAACGTGCTTAATGTAATAGTAAAACGTTGTAACGGTGATTTTTCGGCGCATTCAGTGGCTGATGCCGGCTCACGTGTACGCTGACGGTGACTGCGATGGAAAGCCGGCTTGTTGCTGTGTACCATCGCCACGGAAGGATATAACATACGGATGCGACAGCACCAACTGGCCCATTTCCACCGTCAATGGGAAAGAGTACAAAGTCTACCCGGCCTATAAAGACGATTCTTGGGTAAGGAGACTCGTTGGGGATCATCCGTGCTACATGTCATAACACCGGATGGAAACGAATTGTACGATGTCCCGTGCCGTCTGGTATGCTGTTGCGGGACAAGGACGCTTCTGCCTTATACGCTGATGATTATATGACCGATCGGTCATATAATCATCAGCGTATAAGGCTCATTATGGCTTTTACTTGCTGCGTGCCCTGCCGGTGCTTTACGCTAACTGAGAGTGCGCTTTCTATAAAATATTCCTGCATATTTTTTTTGCGCTATTGATATTCGATTCAACAAGTCTTTGGCAGTTTTGCTGTAGTTCTTAGGATATTTCTGATAATAAATTTAACGGATCGTAATCGCGTTGCTATTCTGTATTCGCGTTGCGGTTCGCGGTTTGCTGTTCTATCCTCTTAAAATATGTTGCCTTGATCCCACAGGAAATTATCCTAAGTAAGAAGTACTGCAAGTTGCAATGAACTCGTGACCGCAAACAACATTCTGAGCCATTGCCCAGAATCAAGGAATATTAGTACCTTCTACTTTTCGTCCAACGCACTTGCCGATTTCCGTTGCTGCTGCGCACAAGCACAACTGCGGCAGTACAGTGTACATACAGAGTCCGTTAACTTATTAGAAATATTAATACTGTTCGAAAGTGTTTTTAAAATGAAATTAAACACTTCAATCGCTTCTGGTGCCTTTTCACCACAAAACATTTCGCCAGCGTTTTGCTTTCCCGGAAATTTCGCCCGCCCAAAATTCAATAGAATTTGACAATTGCCCATCTTTTTCTATGTGCTGCTATCGCGACAATATACTGTAAGATGTTTGAAGTTACTGTACAGTACTGTTAACTCTTGCCTGCGTTTTCCAGGTCATAGCGTGCGAAAATTGAACGAAATATGCAGACCGAAAATTTGGCAAATATCTCACGAATGGTCTGACATGTTTCCTGAAGCGCAAAGGAAGTTTTGCCTAGTACAATTCAATTATCGCGGTGTCATCAGCTCAGTGTAGGGCAGCACTTTACTGGGTTTCTGGATATGCCTTTATACAAAGTGTATGGCCGAAATTAACGAATGATTGGTCGGAGCAGTTCAAACTGCATTCTCGTAGTGAAATGCTTGTCAAATTGGCTGTGGGTGCATGCCAAAAAGGGTTTATCTGGTGAAAAACAAAGTCTCCGTACAATACAATCAAAAAAATTCGAATAGCTCACAGGGGAAAGAAATGCCAACCAGTTTCGTTTTTTAATTTTGCGAACTGGGCCAGAATAAATTTTGACACGAATTTTGGTGCATCCATTCTAAACGAAAACGCCTTTTTTTTTCTCAAACCTAGTTGTACGATTTCGATAGCTAATAAATTTTTCTATCGAACGGTACTAAGCTGTTTTTACTGTACAATGATTGGCTCGCGATAAAGAAACCAAGAAAGAAGAAGGCCATTTGTTCACCCAGCCGGTACTGGCGTAATGTCAAACTCCAGACGGGTAACGACAGCCAGTATAGGGAGTCCTTGCCCAAGCCAATGGCTGCCCCTTTTATTCTTGAATATTGACGTCCTGAGACTCCTGAATAATACATAGTTATATGTAACTGTGCTATCATGTAAAGAAACATTAAGTACGTTCCCGGGAAATTGTTCGATGGTTATACATATGTCGGTTTTTCAGCTTGCGCAGGTTGTTTTACTGGGTTTTTCAGGCGCCGGTTTCAAGTACATGTATGTTTATCCGATATGCGGAGAATGTTCCGGGTAGCCCACTTCACTGATCTCGATTTTTTGTGGTGTCATCAGTTCACCGGCACCGAATACTAAAAAAATCGTGGATATCAGCTGGAAAACCCGAATGCATATGGGTCGGAATAAAACATATACTGTTTCTCTAGTGTTTACCACGAAAGCTGAGCTGTAATTCCCGTTCTGGACTTCCTATTCAAGCATAACACGAGTAACACGGTTATCAGCAGAATTGCGCGTGTTCACAGCATACGTTTAATTCAATCTCTGCGTAGCTCGGAAGGCATATAAAAACAGAGCGATCCCTTGTGAATTTCATTTCCATAAATGCTTGTGCTTTTACTAACACATTAGCCCTGAGTTTCCACTTTCCAGTAAACGTTCTTGTTCGTCATGGCTTCGAAAACCACCGTGATCCTGACCTTTATTCTTCTGAAGCTTTTGATGGTGAGCTCAGCCAGCTCTGGCATATTACTGTACGTTAAGTCCTAGCATTATATAGCTATACTTCGACAAATTCCTTATATACTGCATATAAACCGTATCGGTAACCATCTTTGTACGCGGTTACATTAGTACTTGAAGTTTCGCAGCCGATTTAGCTGGCGCGGAGCCCAGATATGCGCCTTTACTCTATAGGTAGCCCATATTAACGGCATAAGGGATTTGTCGAAGTACTGTTTGTAGCACGGTATAACCGGTGATTTTTCGTTACACCCAGTTGTGGGCGTCAGCGGCCCAGGTTGAACGGCAGTACAGGTGGATTTTGTATATTCATTGTAGTGTGTGATCCATGTGAATGGCTTTCCTTATTCCTCTCCCTTCACACCAGCGCCCAGGCCTGACTGCTGCTGGGATTATGTATACTGGTGCCAATGGAACTCAGCTTCTGGTACCTGGGATCTATCATTACAAGGAACCGAAGAGGATAAGAAACATCTTTCAATGAACGACCATCCATGCATTAAGCAAAAGCGCAAGGCTAAAGGTTAACTAGGATGCTTCTACACGCTCCACCATATTCTTTATCGGATCAAGAATTTCCCAACAACACTATAACTGGCCCGCTCATCAGCTGGTGATATGTTTATTAGTTTTATGGCTCTTTTGCTATCCACCACTCGTCCGTTCCACGTGAATATGTAATGCTGTCCTAGTGGGTGGCTCGAGAATACGTATCTTTGCTTTTGCGTAACTTATTGCACACATGATATACAACGATTATAATTTTCTGCTGGTTCTTTGCTGCTCTGCAACGCGTAGGAACAAAATTTGCTTGAACTTTCTTTTCCTGCAAGCAGGTGTTAGAGCGGCATCCGCTCTCTATAGGATCGTTAGATAAAACATTTCGATACAATTTGTATGCTTTGCCGATAGCCTAGTGGTGCCTCTCTCGGCCTTAGAGTATGGAGGTTGTGGGTTCGATTCCCTCAATTGGCAGATTTTTTCCGAAGTTCTATACAATCCTAGCACATCCCTTGCACAGGAATCTAATGTTCGTTTCAGCATATAGAAGCTTAATACTCAAATTTTAATATTATGAACAAAAATTTTTATTTATTATGCGCAGCAGAAATGGCATAGAATGTCTGAACAAAATGGGTTAATAAATCTATAAGCACAGCGGACCCTAAATCTGTTTACAGTGAAACCCTCACTACGTTCATATTTATAACGTTCACCCCTTTATTATGTGCATACATCTGGGAACCGGACTATCTGGCATGTTATAACACAAGGGTAGTTCTCTTTATAACGTTCACCCCTCTATAAGTATAATGTACACCTATCAGGGAACGGCAGACCATATTATTTTAAGGTGCATTCAACCCCAGCGTTACGTACAGCTGGCCAAGAACGAGAAGCAACAATTTCAAAGAAAGCTCTGGCTTCTGGTTTTAAGTCTGCCCACTGCCTGATCTTGCGATACAAAACAGCGAAACGACAAAAAACAACATTTACATACGTAGTTGAAAATTTAATATTTTCAGGTGACGGTACTGTAGCTGTTTAAAAATGGACGCGAAACGTAAGCGTTAGAGTTTTACTTTGAAGAAAAAGCTCGAAATCATTACCGTCGTCACGTTAGAGAAGTCATTTTACATTCCAGAACATAGACGGCGCCGCCTACGGTTGCTACTCTCAAATATATTACTCACCCCGCTAACTGAGAGCGCGCTTTTTATCTCATGTATAAGTGCTCATGTATATTTTGCGTATGGGATAGTCATTTCAACAAGTCTAGGTAGTTTCGATTCTTAGGATTTTTCTGATAATGAATCTAATGGATCGTGATCGCATTGCTGTGCTATTTCCTCTTTAAATATGTTGCCATGTTCCCCCAGGAAACTATGCTAACCGTAAGTAACATGTAAGGTGCAATGAACTCGCAAAACACAATTTCTGAGCCATTAACCAGCAGCAACGATTGTTAGTACCAGCTACTTTTCGTCATACGCACTTGCCAGTTTCCGTTGCTGCTGTGCGCAAGTACAAAATTATACAACTGCCGCAGTTAAGTGTACAATTACATACAGAGTCTGAATATGATAATATTAGAAACACGAGTATTAATACTGTCGGAAAGTAGTTTTTTTAAATGCGCAACTAATTACCGTACTTCAAACGTTTTTTCGGCCTTCTCATCACAAAAAACTTCGCCAGCGTTTCGCTTTCCCGAAAATTTCGCCAGCCCAAAATTCTATGATACTTGATAACTTCCCATCCTGATTCATGTGGTGCTCTCGCCGTGGTAAGAGGAGTCTGATGTGACCGTCAGTGTTAACTTTTGCCTGCATTTTCTACAGCATAACATATTCTCTGCGCAAAAAAAGAACGAAATATGCTGCAACTGACAATTTTTCTACAATCTCGCGAACTAATGGACTGGGGCCACATAGTAAGCTGCTGACACCGCAAGAAATCGCGATCAGTAAAGTGGGTAAGCGAAACACTTTCTTCGTACATCAGACAAAAACACTTGAAACCGGCGCCGGAAAAATGCAGAAAAACCATCTATGCAATCTGGAAAATCGTTCTATTTATAACGAACGAACTATTTCCCGGGAACACTTAATATGTCTTTAAGTAGTTATCCCGAAAGCAGAATATTACTCAGAACGTCAAAGTGCAAGAATATTATTCAGCAGAATATGATGCAGTCTGTGAAATCGCATACTCGGAAACGATAGTCCGAATAGACAGTTTACTGCAAACTGTGCACATTCTTATGCCGTACGGTAGCCAAATCTCTCGAAACGCTTCGAAAATACTTATATATATGCCGAGGAATCTTTTTGCTTTTTATTTTTGTTTGAAAAACACTGTGCGGTTTTTTCATAAACCATATCAGAGTGTGCGCCATAAATTCCATATTTTGTCATGAATTCAAAAATCATGATGTTCGTGAGCTTTGGTTTCTGGGTTTTCTGCATGGTAAGTGAGGCCCGCTAATTTTAAAAACCGGCCGTATGTGACCGTGTTTGTGCACTATGTTTAGTGGCCGATGCCAGCTGATGCGGAGTGCCCAAGCGGGAAGCCGGCTTGCTGCTGTGAAACAGAAGGGTCCGACATATACTGGTGTGACAGCAATAATATACCGCGTATACGATATTTTGTGAATAAATCCTCTCATTTGGACGCGTACCAAGCCAACAAAAAGCGCGAGATGAACCACCCTTGCAATCGTGGCAAAGATATTCCGAATTTGGAATGACCACAAACCGGCTTTTTCGGAGCTCCTAGTGGCGTCTGATTAACTAATTACAATTTGGAAGCTTCCCTACTCGAAGTCCGATATTGTTATAGTTATTTTACAAATTTCAGTAATTTTTTTGTTGTCAGATCTGGTGCTGTTTCCGAATTAAATCAAAGTTGGTAGGTTGCGTTGCCCGTCTTTTTTAGCGTAGTTTGTAATAGAGGATTCTCGATAATATACCGAAACGTCCTAAAGCCCAAATAGTGGGACACGTTCACACACGCTCACGCTCGGTACTAGCTCTCACTCTCTCAAAACAAGGTTCTGGTCCCGGACCAGAAGCACATGCTCTTGTGTTGCTAAGCTACTGGAAATTTTAACCTTTGCAAAATGCGAATGCTTTCGTTTCCATTGCGGGACGGTTCTGTCGATCTCCCTGCGTTGATTGTACGGATGCTGCACTTTCGCATTAAAGCAGTACCGTACGTACGTCTACAGTACTGCTTTAATACATCGATCATGCAGGTGTGCCACACCTCATAATCTTGCACTCACCATTAGTTACTCTGTATCCGAGAATTCAATGCTTTTCCAGACCACGACTTGCCATTTGCAGCCGTGCATTTTTCGCTTGCTTTATTGTTAAATTTCCGGTCAAGGAGTCTTTGATGCCATTCGTTAATCTAGGTACGCTGCATTTCTAAGACACAAGTGGCTCTGCATTCGTTTCCATGGAGGAGCTGTCGTCAATCCAGGCGGGCGCCCAGACGCGGGCTGCTGCCACGTTCTCCAACATGCCCGACGAAATCATTTCGCACATTCTTTCATTTTTGAACGTCATTGACATATCCAACAGCACTGTGTAAGTATTTGCCGCTTTCAGATTTAATGCTTTCACTTAATTCTTGATCAAAAGTCTGTTACGGTTTCGGCTTGCTCGATTACGACCCAAGGGGAATGTTTTTCTCGTAGCGTGTGCAAACGATGGCAACACGTCAGTCACGCCGCTAAGCTGCAGAAAAACGTCATCATCGACCTACTGAAATGCAAGACGCATCGACCAATACCCGTGCCGGATATAATCCTTGACGGTATCGAAGTAAATATACACGACTTCTGCGATCCCAGGGAATCCGGCCTCAGCTCCTTGATAAACAAATTTGTCACGCCTAAGACCCGCAATGTCATCATGCGTTGGTCGTTCGGTTCCTCGTCGCCGGAGCCGGTTCTGTATTTTGACGAGACCTGGGAGTACGAAGCTATTGATATACAGCGACAACTGTTCGACATTTTCCAGATTTTGCGCCGAACTGCTGCCCGTCATTCGCTGGCCGGCATTACGCTAACTCTGCAGAATATCCATCTGGGTGCTGATACATTACAGCGCATCATTCCCGACTGTGTGGCAGAGATCCATCTGGAAGATATCACCATGCACTGTCATTTCCCGACCGGGTCACTGATGAAAGAAGAGCCGCAGATCGTGCGCAAATTGTTAGTGGAGAAAGCCAGTGTCGGCAAGGTCAACGGCGCTTGGCCCTTCGATAGGCAGGGACGGAATGATAACGCCCCATCGTTCATGTTCACTGCCATTTCCACGGAGAAGATGAAATCCTTTGAGTTCTTTGGCCAGTTTCTGCCGGCCAGCCTGTCAGCGGAGGAAGAAGCCGTGATCCAGCGGAAGGTGCAGTCGAAAGATCCGGTTGGCGCTTCGCTGGTGTCCTACTTGTTCATGTAAGTGTAATTCACTCACGCTAACTGCCGGTACGCTTTGGGTGTCGGACTTTTGTGAAGTCAGAGGAATCGCCAGTCGGTCAAACAGTTGCAAAACGTTTTACTAAATGATGAGTAGTGTTAATACCGTGTAAACACGTTTAAAAACATTTCATCCGTATTGCAAGAAATGGGCTGCCATGTTTAGACATGCTGGATGGCCGAAACCAGCGGACGGAATTAATCCGCTGATGCCGGTCAGCACATTGAACGTGACTCTGGACCGGATTCGGACGCTTCCGCTATGGTTGCAGCATCTCACTGTGCAACTTCTTAGCCGTTATGCAGACTGATGTCCAGGTGTTGGGCTAATGGAAGTCGCAACGTTCGCAATAGTTTAGATTGGATACTATAGCTCGATACTATAATTATTTCGTTTACTCTTAGGTACACCTTCAGCACTAAATATTTTTAATTCATTGTTAAAAAAAATTACAGCAAAGCTGCTAAGAAAAACAACATCGGGCAGCAATCATTCCCGACCAGCCAATCTACAAGCTAAAAACACGGTACATCTTCATGTATTTTGTCCATATGATTTGCAGGTTATGCATATTACCCAATACACAATGACTTTTTCGCACTATTTTTTTATTACTAACGGCTTAACATTTTTTTGATTTCACAAGAAGCGGTAACATCACTGTTTCAAAACAATAGATCAAATAAAAAATAATTCATTTAATGCTGCCGCTCCTTCCATTGTCCCGAACACGGAACCAGCGTTGCCTCGCTGAATTTCCAGCGACATTCGTTGACGGAGGTACGGAGATATGGCTTAACTGTATAATCAGAAAGAAAAGCTTATTATAACTGTCCTTAGTTGATGCCGTGTTCCCTTCTTAAGTTAGTAATGCCGGTTCTGATTTCACCATTCCGAGTTTGATGCCGTGGCTGAAACAGTAACTATAGTAAAATGGGGAGCCATAGAAATTCTAGTCACAAGAAGCGGAACATAGTCAAAGCAAAACGTTATAATGTCGTACAGTGTGTACAAGCGAGCAAAATGATCGTTCTACCGCTTTGCTTTACCGGTTCCATGAAATTTATTATTCGCTTTGTAAGCGCCAGGTGAGAATAACAAGAAGTACAGTACTGCTGTAGTATTTCTACATCATGGGATCGTTTGATGACTGCCGATTCAAAAAATTAAACACACCGGGATCGATAACATGGGTGTCAACAAATGCATCTAGTAGTAAACGTCAACAGTAGTTGATGATTTTAGACTTTAGTCTTTATGATACAATACAGTAACCAGACGAACGGTCCCCATCAGTGTAGCTGCATTGACATTCACGATGTTAAATATGGCTGATGCAAAAGTAGTGCTGTTGTTTTCCGGTCTCTAGCGTTGCACATTAAACAGGATTTTATGAAATACATCAGATCGCTGTCTGTTTCAGCATCGGAATATCGAGATGGTTTTGGCTTGCCGCAGCCGTTCCCTACTTGGTAAAGAATCGCGAGTTCGGTGGAATATTGTTGGCGCCCATATGAGTACTGATTCGATTCATCAGCAGATCCGTTTGACCTTGTCCACTTAGTAATCTCAGGACGTTAGCCTGTACATAGTAGTATAGTACAATGGCAACGCAGCCGACGCTCCAGATATTTGTTTCATCTCCAATCTGCTCCTGATCCGGGTCTTCCGAGCCGGGGTAGGCGATCAGCTCCGGCGCAGCGCATAGTGCGGTACGCGTATAGCAGACGTTAAATACTTCACTTGGGCTTCCGCTATCTGCGCGGTGGACTCCCTCAAAGTCCACAGTGACCACCTGCAAGGCATTACAGTTGGTTTTGACCATCAGGGTTTCCGGTTAAATGTCACAGTGCGTGATTTTCGGGGTGAAGCGGCAGTGACTAAATAGGTCCAATCCCGTCAACACTTTGCGCAGGAAAAATTAATGCGCTGATGAGGATGCGGTTCGTCTGTTACTGGCGATGTAGCAGTTTTTCCGGTCCGGGTATTCTTTTTTATCCATTCATGCAAATTAATTCCTAAGTAGAGAATACTGGTCTATATTCCACTGTTTAACCGAAACGATCTGAGTACATAATGCCAATCTGATATACCCAAAAAAACCTGTTTGCTCACTTCTTAAAATTAGAGAAATCTACGGTTTTATGTAATATAAAATGCTGCCACATGCCTCATAAAACCCATTCGGATAAGACAGACCCTTGTAAGCGGAGCATATTTCTATGGCGTAGGATAATGTACAGTAACATTCGCCCCGTATACAGGACGAGTTTTGGCTAAACAATATAGTGGGTACAGTGAGACCATGCACACACAACTGTATAAAAGCTTATTTACTCCTCCTTAACGATGACGTTAGCAAATTGTTCGCAAAGATGCTGCAAGTATAACTCCGTTCGTCCACAGCAGATTTTTATTTTTATAGAATATAGATACAAAACCTGTACGCTGTCGCTTGCTGGTTCCGGTTCCACTGATAATTTTTGTACGAAGCGCCATTTTCCAGCAGTATTTGATCTTGCCCCTTGCCAATGTACTCTGTATGGCTGCTATCTGGCTGTTTTTACGCTACCGCTAGTAACAAACATGAAATTTATTTTAAGAGCATCGTGTTCATCCATAAAACATAAAACACACCTTTCAGTTTTATTTATTCCTCGAAAACGCCTTGCTTAAAATAAAAACATTTTTAAGCTCCAACCCCATTCACAGCAAATTTTGCAACCATGGTCACGGCGCACAATATACATGTATTATGAAATCCGCCTACTGAATATTTTACCATAAGACATACCTCTAAGACCAACAGGGTGATGCCACACAAGTAAGCTGATGACCCCGCAAGAATACAGGTAGCTGAAGTGGACCGAACGGAACGTTCTTCGTATTTTGGTAAGACGCACTTCAGATCGGCACCTGGTACTTGGTAGAATGTAAAAAAATCGTCGATGGCAGCTGAAAAGTCAGAAATTTTCATAGCGATAAAATCGTTTCTGGGAACTAAATAATTGTTTTTTAGTTTCGTTCAAAACCTAGTGCAAGTACTGTAACGCCAGTTATTCAACATTTGTTCCATAACGTGCTGATCATGTCATCCAAAACCATGATGATCCTGACCGTTGGTCTCCTAATGGTCTGCTTGGTAAGCTGAATCAGCTTGCTTAATGTAATAAGAAAACGATGTAAACCGCTGATTTTTCGGCGCATGCAGTGGTTGATGCCAACTCAAGTGTACGCTGACGGCACCTGCGATGGAAAGCCAGCTTGTTGTTGTGTGCCATCGCCCCGGACGGATGTGACATACGGATGCGACAGCACTAACTGGCCCACTTCCACCGTCAATACCAGTGGGCATGTCTTGCGAGGCTACGCGAGCTATAAACGGAGTCCTTGGGCAATGAGAATCTTTCGGGATCATCCCTGCTACAAGTCATAGCACCGGACAGAAACAAACTGAACGCAGTCCCGTCCCGTCGTCGGCCTCTAGTATACAATTGTGGACAAAGACACCTCTGTCGGTAATCTAGCCATCAGGCATCAGGGTATGCGGTTTATTATGGTTCCTTGCTGTGTGCGCCGCCGGTGCTGACCTCTAACTATGAATGTGCTTTCTATAAGGTACTTCAATGTATTTTTGCGCTGTTGATATTTGCTTCAACAAGTCTGTGGTAGTTTTAGTTCTTAGAATATTTCTGATAATAAATTTAACGGATCGCAATCGCGTCAATGCTCAGTATCCTCTTGAAATCCCTGTATGTTGCCATGATCCCCTGGAAATTATGCTAAGTAGAGACTGTGGTTTTGTGCTCTGGGATAAAAATTATAATAAGAAGTAAATGCAATGAACTCGTAACCCCAAATAACACTCTGAATCAGTAAAAAGAAACAAAGAATATATTAGTGTCTTCGACGTTTTGTCATATGCCTACGCACTTGCCGGTTACTGTTAGGTCCGTTACTGCTGTGCATAACTACAATACTAACGTCTCAATCTAGAATGGCCCGGGTCAAAAAGAGGGAGGAATTTTGAGAGGGAGGAATTTCTGCGTGGTCAAAAAGAGGGAGGAATTTTTGAAGCGAGAGAGGGAGGAATTTTGAAATGGTCAAAAAGAGGGAGGAATTTTTTTGAAGTTCAAATGAAGTACTTAGTGACCTCGAACCCAGGTCTCCGATGTCGCCCCCAAGATTCTCTCATTATATACACAGTTTGAAGGGCTGAGTCGAACGGAAGTACTCGGGGACCTCGAACCCGGGTCCCCGAGGTCGCCACCGAGATTTCCTTATCAAGAGTAATCGTTTGGCTCGCCCTCGTGCCTAAATCAAGACATGTTGAGGGTTCGATGAAACAGAAACACCAGTGACCTTTAGGTCGCCACGTGACCTTTGGGTCGCCACCGATTTTCATAGTGATTCCTATACAGTTTGCTGTGCTGAGTCGAACTGAAGTTCTGGGGGTTCTCGGACCCACGTCCCCCAAGTCGCCACCACGATATATATTTTATATGCATAGTTTGATGTGCTTTCTCAAGCCACTGCTGGGAGACGTAGAAACCGGGAATATTTCTAAAAATTTTTAAACGTTTCTTAACATTTTTACTAATATTTCTTATTATATTTCTACATATTCCTAAATAAATTTTAAATATTCTAGAAATTTTTCGACATATCCTTAACTATATTTCAACATATTTTTTGATAGTTATAAATATATCTGTAATTATGTCTTAACACATTATGAATATACTTTTGATTATTTTAGAATTAAGTTTTCTGGTATTTCTGTACAGATGCATATCTCTACAATTTCGAAATATTTCTCAATATTTCCAACTATTTCTCAATATTTCTGGATGTCTCCAAGTACGGGCTAATGCTTTATAAGTATTACTGTTTTACGACTAGTAAGTACAAGATAACAACTAAATGAGAAGTACACCATCTAAACCACAGCAACAGGAAATAACGGACAGGTGCTAAGTCATCTTTTGTATCGTGACTTTCATGATATGTCAATAATCTCGTGATATGCAAATATACCACAATTCTTAAATACTTTTAACTATTCGGTAATTTTTCTCAATATTTCTCAATATTTTTTTCAATATTTCCCATGATTTCAGTGAATATTTTTTATTATATTTCTACATTTTTCTAAATTTTAGATTTTAAATATATTTCTAGATATCCTTGAATATACTTAGTGGTATTTTTCGAGACGTTCAAATATATTTAATTATTTCTTGATACATTTTTGAATATATTTTGAAGATTCTAAATACTTCTTTAATTATTTATCACATTTCTACATATATTTTTTAATAATTCTACCTCTCAATAGCTCTACCAGTTTGTATCACGTAAACCGTAAACGTAAAAATTCTGATTACAGTGTATGAGTAGATCTGAAAAATAAAATACCGTAAATTTAAACTGTTTAATAAAACAAGGTTTTTAAAAACTGGCATTT